TGTCTTCCTAAATCATTAAAACAACTAGGAATTTCAGATAAAATCAGGCCAACACACCCAAAGTTCCTGTGCACCACTGCCTGGCCTCAGTATGAGTTAGACAATAACTGTTTGGCCAGACAATGAAACCTTAAATTTCAATATTTTGAGAGATTTAGTAATTTTCTGCCATCATAAAGGCAAAAGGCCGAATTACCATACATCTAAGCTTCCTTTGGTCTCCGTGCTCATTCGTCCCTCTGGGTCAAATGTTCTTCCCATCAGGTTCGTCTGGCTAATACAGATTCATGGGATCCAAACACCCCAGGGGCCTCTGCCCCCTACTCTACCTCAGCTTTTGATCTTACCATATCCAATGAACTGCCTCTGATTAGGATCTATCCCAAACCTCCTCCTGCTCTCCAGCCTGAGGCAAAGCCAAGTCCTCCCCATGCTCTCCCCCTGCTATACTCTCCCTTGCCTCCCATTGTAGGTCCCAACCCATCTCTCCTCCTTTCTCCAATTCAAACTCTCTCTCCGTGCCATGACCTTTCCCCTCTCCAGTGCCTCACTAAGTCCATCACCTGCTCTCTTTCCACCAATTCTCCTCTCCTTGAGGAAATCCACAACCTTAAACACCTCCTTGCCAAATATTCCCTACTGTCCCCTATTCTGGCTTCTAGCTCAAATAACCTGTTTATCCCTCCTGTATCTAACTTCTACTTTTATTCCAAACCCTGTCTCTAATACCCCTGCCCCTGTGTCCCCTCATGGACAGGACACACCTCCCATCTCTCCCACTCCAAGTTATAAAGTCTGAACAGGTTTATAGCATAGTTTTCTTTGATTATACTGGAAGTTGTAAACATCAATTTGATAATATTTAACTATTTACCAACTGCTTTTTTCCAGCTAAAGCAAGGTTTTGGTAGACCACTCTCTAAACTACATATGGTAAAAGATTTACCCAGAAACTTATAAAACACAATATATACAGAGGTAATATTAACTTATTCCATTATGTACATAATTTAGATTCCATGTTATTTTAATAAGATGATGCTACACATTACTTTCTTCTGAGTCAAACAACTATCATCTTCATGACTTTAGCTGTGTCCACTAACAAAATAATCATCACAATTGGAGTTGTTGACTTAAGTATTTAACTAAAAGTGGAGGGGTAAACAGGGTCATTGAACCCTCACCTGAGTATCCAGCTGGTCTTTCCTGCCAACTGTATACAATTTGTCCCTAATCACATGGTATCCTGGGTTTGGGGAAGACTAAAGTATATTATCTGGAAAAGGCTAGGGAGAGAAGACTTGATCCATGCTGGGTTAAGGCTTTCCAATGTAAATACTCTCAAGTCACTCATATACCTCAACAACCCCTCAGTCATCTCTGTAAGTAAGCTCAGTAAATTCATTGTTTCCACAGAAAGATACTAATGTAATCAAACATTGGTTTGATACTACAACCTAAAAAGGGCAAAAATGTTGCTTAGTATCCCCAGGAAAAGAATTCTCACAACAGATGAAAAATTTGTTTGTTAATGTTATTGGGTCTCATGGTTATTTAAAAAAATTTTGGAAAACTGGAGGATGTTGGAAGGATATGAGAATGGAGATATTCTTAAAGAAGGATTTGTGTATGAAAATTATGATGGCCGGATAGTTCCAGAACTGAGAGAGAAATGAGAGAGCTGGGCAGATGATAAAGGTCTGTGTAGGATTGCTGCAATATAACAAGGGTGAGACAAGGATAATTTGTAGACAATCTTGAAATTTCTAAGATCACAGCTTAGTCAACTAGTCCTAGGATGTCTAGTCGAAGTTTATTTAAGGATGTTGCCCAAGCTTTATCTACATAGCACATGGTAATTAATGTACCAAGACTGATGTAACTAACCTTGTTGGATGTTTAATAGCCAGACTCTAAGGCCTATATTTATCTGGTCAGAGGGACTTAAAGGGACAAATTTTTGTTCCTTTCTCTCCAAGGTCAAACAAGTTCCAGGGGCTATGGCGCATCTCTCAAAATGTCCTGTAACTTTGGTGAGTCACCTGTCCTCTTGTTCAGGGAGACCATGGAGACCCCAGAAGATGAACTTGAACCAGTGTCCAGTATGCAAAGAGGAGGGTCAACCCAGATGAAATATTTCCTCCATGCTTCCAAATGAAGCCCTGGTCAAGCAAGACCTTTTGACTAATCTTCACATAGATGGAGCTGATAAAAGAAAAGGCTGAGGATCCAGGGGTTTCCCCCAAGCCCATGTGACCCCTGAGTACCAAATCCTCATACAAACTTAAGAGTAAAAATAAATTGGTTTATTTGGGCCAACAGCATGTTCTTAAACACCCAAAAGGAAAGTATAGCCAAAATTAAAGTCATTAGTTTATTTTAAGGGTTCAAGGGATTACACAACCCAGACATTAGACATAAGTTCTTATGTTATTTAGACAATTATCTCTCATTGATGATTTTGTTCCTAATAAGGCAATGTTACTCAGATGAAAGACTTCAAATCTTGGTTTACAATACTGTAGTGCCCACTTACAGTGATGGCTAAATTTGTTTTTTCTCCTTATCTAGAAGCCTTTGAGAGGTAACTGACACTGATTCTTGCCACTCCAACAGCTATCAAAATGCCTGAAAACAAATCCTGAGTCCATCATTCTTGAGTTCAGCCCTGGCAGAAGAAAAAAAATGAAAAATGAGTTATTACCTTGGTGCTAACCATTGCTCCTTGCCTTTTCAGATATTTTCAGGACCAAATCCAAAAACTAGCTCTTACCACTTTTAATCAGCTGTTACTTTCCTTCCCATGTACACAAGCACCTGTCAACCATCAAGGACCCTCTTGAGATGCATGAAGAGGGAATCCCTGCTGTCTAACCAACCCCTAATCCAGCACCCCCCCCCACATCAACCCTGTCCAGTAGGAAGTAGCAAGACAGCAAGGGCTCCCCCATCTTATAACACAAAAGGCTGGAATGTTAAGGTTCAGATATCCCTGCCCCTCACCAACAGGGTCTCAAAGACTTCTCACATTCCTGAGAAAAGGGAACACAGCTGATATGCACCCTGGCCTTTGAATTCAAGAAAAGCAGACTTTTCTCCACTGTTTGGCCAACACAGTAGGCTTCCCCCTTTGATCTCTAAAGAGAACAGGTTTTAACAGTCCCACTCTCCCACTTCCCTGGCACAACTTAAAAAAAAAAGAAAAAAGCAGAAGCCTCCCCCTTAAAAGACCCCAGCTCGCAACCAGGGCAGACATTTTCCCTTCCTAGAAGGGAATCTGTCCCATGTTTTCCTTTGCTAATAAACTGCTTTCTCCTGATCACCCTATTCATCATACGACTACTTTTTTATCTATCAATATATATTTATTAATTGTCTAATATATAAATTCATGTGTATATGTTAATTTTAGTGCATTTGAGAGAAGACAGAGTGATTGTTGTCTTTATTTTGAGGCTCCCAGTGAAGGGAAAAAGAAAAAAATAAAGCAAAAAGCTGTGATATCAGTCCTTCAACTTTGGTCTTTGAAAGTCTGACTAATGGTTGCTTAGTAATGTTCCCCTGAGGCTGAGGTTAACCTTAACCTTACGTTGCAGGAGTCTCAGTTCTCTTTCCTGAGGTGCTCCAGGCAGAGAGCTAATACAGAGCTGGCTCTTCTTATACTTGCAGCAGCTTCCTGGGATCCTGTTGGACCACAGTGTTCTAAGAAAATTTCCATTTTATTTTAAGATAAGTAAAATATCTAGGTGATTCAATTTAAAGAGAAATGAAAGGACAAAAATTTGGGAATGATAATCTAAATGAAAATAAATGCAACAATAAAGTTTTCAGACCCTTGGATGTATTTCTTCATATTTGTAAGAATAAAATGGGACTTGACCCAATTTTAGGCTGGTGATATTAGAAGTTGTTTTTCACTTTTTTTCCTAACAACTTTGACTGCTGGTAAGTATTCCTAAAATATAAATGGTTTGCATTAGTTAAAATGAAACAGAAACTTTCTTAAAGGAATGTCTGTGCATATATCTTTTGGCACTTACACAAGTGATATTAGGATTTATGGAAATGAAAATAAAGAGTTGAATGGGAAAGTCTACACGCAATGCTCAAATTTACAATTGGATTTTAATTGTTAGTTTGGAAAAACAGGAAGCCTCATGAATAATTATGTCTTCATGTAGTCAAAGTCCTGAAAAAAGTGAAGTTTATGTCTAATTAGTTTTAACGGCCACTACAAAAAAATGAACTGTAACATATATTAAACCTGATTTCTTTTAGTTCATTGTATGCCTAAGATTTTGTCTGTGTTTACTGTTTTAATTATAAACAGGAATTCAGGGCCAGGAGCACCCCGTTTGAACCAAACCATATTGAAAAAAGTCATACAGTCAGCATGCACTTGCAATGAATTCACTTAAAATACTAGATCTTCACAGCAAGTCACTCTAAAATTAGTGGAAAATAGTGGAATTACAGTGTGACATTTCAGCTAGGGTAAATATGATATTAAAGGAGAACATTTAGAATAGTACCCTTTGGTTTTTTTAATATTTTATTTTTATGTGTTTGTGTATATTGGCTGCATGTATGTAAGTGCACCCATGTCATGCAATGCCCTCAGAGGACAGGAAAGGGCATCTGTTCCCCTGGAAGTGGAGTTCAGATGTTGGTTGGCCTCCATAATTAAACCTGGATTTTCTGCAAGAGCAGCCAATGCTATAACCCCTGAGCCATCTCTCCAGCACCCAAAGGCTATGATCGTGTTTACTCCAGGTTTGTGCATGAGGCTAAAGTGGTAACCACTGCACTATAAACCGCTGACCCTGTTACATCATATTCAAATGTCACTTTAGCTATAAGGGTTTTTTAAGATACATAATTTTTATGGCCAAGTACTGTATATAACAACTTAAGAATCGACAAACAAGCCAAACATTTTACTAAGCCATTCAATATGATATCAACTTTGATTTCTCAACAGTTCAGGGCAGTTCACTATGAACACCTGGAATTACACAAATGAACCCGATGACTTCATCCTCATGGGACTGACAGATTCCAAGGAGGTCCAGCTGGTCCTCTCTGTGCTGTTTCTCTTGATATACCTGGTTACTGTGCTGGGAAACACAGGGATGATTCTCATCATTTGTCTCGATGCCCAGCTTCATATCCCCATGTATTTCTTTCTCACCCACCTGTCATTCCTGGACCTCAGTTACTCAACTATTGTCACCCCCAAAACCTTAGAGAACATGCTGACTTCCACCAAGACTATCTCTTTCATGGGCTGCTTCACTCAGATGTATTTTTTTGTCCTCCTGGCGGGTGCTGAATGCTTTATTCTCACATCAATGGCCATTGATCGCTTTGTAGCTATCTGTAATCCCCTACACTATCCAGTTCTTATGTCCACAAAACACTGCCATGCTCTCCTCTTTGGGTCTTACATGATTGGAGCTGTAGATTCCTGTGTCTATGTACTTTGCATGAGTACACTGAATTTCTGCAACTCCAATATAATCCATCATTTTTTCTGTGACACATCCCCAGTTTTAATACTGTCTTGTAATGATACATATGACATTGAAATCATTATATTTATTTTTGCTGGTTCCACTCTCTTAGTATCTTTTATCACTGTATCTGCATCCTATGTGTCAATTTTCTCTACAATTTTGAAACTCAGTTCCACTTCAGGAAAGCAAAAAGCCTTCTCCACATGTGCCTCTCATCTCCTGGGAGTCACCATCTTTTATGGTACTATGATCTTTACGTATTTAAAGCCAAGTAAGTCCTATTCATTGGGAAAGGATCAAGTGGCTTCTGTATTTTACACCATTGTGATCCCCATGCTGAACCCACTCATTTATAGTCTCAGAAACAAGGAAGTAAAAAGTTCTCTCATTAGGGTCATAGAGAAAATGAAGGGATCCAAGTAATTAAGATGACAGGATTGCTAGGCCTTTAAATTCTTCACTGTTTCCTATTGAGCCCTTCATTGGACTCTTTGTCTCCATAAAAGCAATTGAAAGCCTTCTTTAAAAGTCAGTTTCCCCTACACAAACATATTCTTAGACATTTCCAGTAATGCAATTTTAGAGGTTTGGATCAAAATTTAAAATGAGGAAATAGGGGCTGGAGAGATGGCTCAGCAGTTAAGAACACTGATGGCTCTTGCAGAAGACCCAGGTTTAAATCCCAACACCCACATGGTAGCTAACAACTGTCTGTAACTCCAGTTCCAGGGGATCTGATGGCCTCGCCTGTCCTCCAAGGGCATTGCACGACATGAGTGCACTTACCTACATTCAGGCAATACCTGCACACACATTAAAAAAAAAAATTAAAAATTAAATGGGGAAATACATGTTAGTACACAAATGTGTATTTGTTAAACATATAATATTTCAGGCATACTGAAATTTTACATGATTATGTCATGAGAAAAATAACTTTGCACAGTGATAACAGTTTCAAAACTTATGAAAATGCTTGTTAGTTGACAATCACTGAAAATCAGTGAAAGATTTAATTCAATATTATCATCCATACAAGACAAAAAATAATTACAAGTCCATTGATAAGAAAATGGATATAGTGTATTTAAGGCAGTAATCACAATTGACTATTAGCAGTAGAAAACTGACATCCATGATATATTTTTAAAGCTTAAATGCTTTTATTTAAAGAAGAGTCGCTAGTGTCTTAAAAATTGTTTTCTTTTCATTTGATCTACAAACACATAGAGCTGAAAATTAATGTAACCATTAGGTCAATATGGATTCAGAGAAAATTGTGAAAATAAAATTAAGTTATAGGCTAATGAGTATGCTAATGTTGATGACAATTTGGAAAATATTTAGTTACAAAGGAAGAGAAAAACCTTAGCAATTGTTAACACTCATGTGTAGGATCTTCTCATTTAAAAATTGTGAATGTATCACTGTATATGACAAATGCAAACAAACATACATTTTTTTGTATATTTTGCTCTTTTTAGCTTTCACTAAAAAGTTTAATATTTGATAATCTCTTTGTCCTTTATAGCTCTGAGATGATGAGCTTCAGTTCATTATATGGGCAAAAATGTTATTGGACTATGGCAGTGTTTTAAACCTGATAAACTGTAAATTTATCAAGTTAACAAAATCTTCATGAGTTAATACCACTTACGTGTGAGGGTGTTCAATATCTGAAAATCTTCCCATTCTGAGATATATCAGTCAGCTTTGGGATATTGATTCTCTCTTCTTTGTCTGATTACTTTTGGCTTCTTGAATTTAACTTCTTGAATGAAATGTGTGACAAATCATTTTATACCTTAAAAATGAAATACACTAAAATGGAAAATTGAAAAGTTATATTTTTGTTTCATGGCAGGAATTTTTATCAAAGAGAGCACAAACATTTTGTTTATTTAAAAGTGTTTTCTACATACCCTGTAAGTGTATTTTGAAACATCATTTTTCTGTTTATGCATTATTTTAAGGGATATTATTTTATTTTCAAATACTAAAATTTTGTTGCTAATGCCTGCAATTACTATGTATTTTCAATCCAACAGATATGATTATATAAAATATTTATTTTGAAATTTATGCTAATTATTAATGAAAGTCAATATTTGATCATTTTCCCCCTAAAATTCTTCCTAACGTTTAGTATATAATGATTTAACAAATTTTCTCAAATTTCAAACAGCTATGTAATTTTTTGAAATTCTTGCAGGTACATATTAGATTCCCTTACTTACTTAATCTACTTCAGTGACCGATCATTCTACACCAGTTCCACAGAAAAGTACTATGACTTAATATTGTCTATTGTTTGTGTTGTGTAACATCTATTTTCATTGTTATTCTTGCTAATATGTTTGTGGTTATAAATAATTTTATAAAGGTTTAGAGCTCACTCATACACAGTTTTGGGTCATTTTCTATCTTTTCATCCTTCATATACCTTCTCAGTTTTTAATGAACTCTTTTTCTTTTGCATTCACATTTTAAAATGATTTTAAATTGCTTTCATTTCTTTGTATTTCCATGATTCAGAAATCAATACCATCTCTTTCTGTTGGCAAAAATGGTGGACAGAATCTGTTACTTTTTAGTTAACATGAAATTGAGCATACTAGTAAATTATAAATAAAACTACCTTATCTCTATTTAACAAAAGTTCTTTTTTATTATGTGATTATATAATTATAATCTGTAATCGACATGAAACATTTGTATTTGTACTTGGCCTATAATTTCATTATATTTTTCTTACATATTACACTTCTTATGTGATACTGTCTGAAATAGTATATGTATTATTCCAGGCCATATTTACATGCTAAACTGCTACATAATGGGATTATTGTATTTTAAAAAACTTCAATGTGTCATGGAAAAATATTGTTCTTGCCTCAAAATCAATTCTGGATACAATGGCACTGGTCAAAACCATTTTCAATCCCAGAACACAGGAGACACAGAAGCAGGTTTGCCACAAGCTCAGGGAGAGCCCAAGGTACACACCAAGTACCAGGTCATTCTGGAATACCCAGCAAGATCCAGTCTGAAAAAAGACATTGCTGAAAAAAAATACTCATAATAAATATGCCTTGTTCTGTCTTTAGTGTTTCATGTAATGTTCAAAGGACTTTAGATATATAATTAACATTATTGTTAAGTGAGTAGCACCCATAAACAAATTTAAAACCCATGTTGCAACGGACCAGCCCAGACTGGAGCACTCAGTCTGATGGGATCAGGGAATCAGATAGTGGGCAAGGATTGGGCGAGTGACAAACAGACACAACACAAGAGATGGTTGATGATCTGAATGTAATTTTCTAAAGTGGAGCATCAGATTTTATACAAATTACAGAACAAGATTGTGCAAGCATCAGGTTGATTTCATGGTTAATCATTTTCTTAGAAATACAATTCAAAATCAAAGCAATACAGTACAGTTTACAGTGTTCTTATCTAATTAATCAGAGGCTATATTGCTTGTCCCTTTTCCCTCAGTGGTTTGGCAACGCCAGCTACTTATGAACTTCGTGGTTAGTAGTTTTATGGCTCCATTTTCTCGATACTATCTTAATTCTGAGGTTTCAGTGGCCGAGGCCAATGACTAGGTCAGTGAAGTTGTGAAATAGCATCTTCCTTATAATAACTCCATAAGGAGAGCATATTTTCCTATTCTTTCTTTCCATGTTTCTTATACTGCCTGTAATTGTTCAAGTATACTTTGCTGCTGACTTGTAGTAAAGGCACCAAGGTGGTCTGGATCTAGCTAACCTATCCATAAACTATAGTGAATATCATGAAACTTTCCTTCCTTGAATATTTACCCATCTATTATTTCTTTCATAAACTCCTGTATGAGGAAGTGGTTCATCAGTGGGCTTGGGGATTCTAAATATGCTCTCCTTTCCCTTAAGGGGATGCCATAGCCTACCTCTCCCTAACTCGTAGGCAATTCCAAAGTCCGTCTTAACTGTAGGCAGCAATCTTCCTTTAGTATCCCTTTGATCTCCTTGAGTCAACTCTAGGGACTGAAGCAGGGGGATTATATACTAATAATTCTTGTTGTATCTTATCTATAATTTTTCAAGGTTGCCCATTCTTAGCTACTTATTGTTTGAAACAAGAGAGGAGCATTTGGAGGAAGTCTAATATTGGGTAACTGAGTTCCCAGGAAATCATCTGTATCTAGTCTCTCTTCAGGTGGGCCTAATGACCTGAGTAGGCACAAAGCAGTTCCCCTATGAGGAAAGAACAGGAATAAAGACAGCAATAAAGACAGGAACTAAAGCATAATGGCCAAGGACACAGCATGCTTTTTTAACACAGCCATTCTCCAGGAAGCATTCTTCCTTTGAAGTTTTCTCAGCCTCAACCCACGAAGAGTACCTCACGCGGGCTCCACTGGAGGTGGCGTGACACTATGTAATAGAAATCTATGCCTTATTTGGAAGATTAACATCTTACGGTTGTTACTAGACTATATATATATATATAT